ATAGCGGCCGCCCCCACCTTGCGGCCACAGCCCCCCCCCATCCCACAGCGCCGAACCCCAGCAAGGCTCTTAAATGGGATTTATGGCCGTAGCCATTCAAAAGTGTCTAAGAGTTCCCGAGAGTGGATAAAAGCTCACTTAATAAACCTGGATTTCAGCGTTTCTTTCCCACCACTTCCCACCGCCAGGTCAGGGTAAATGCTTCAGGTTTGTTTGTGTCGCATTCGGTCTCGATCCCTGCTCTCCTCGCTGGCTCTCCCGCCCGCAAATTTAGGAGCCTCCGGGAGCTGGGGAGCATCCCGGCGCTGCCGCCGGCGTGCAGGGTGGTGTGGGGGTTGCACAAGGTGTCATCTAGGGTGCCAGGTAACGAGCGGTTCCGCGTGCGCAGGAAGAGATGTCGGGAGAAAGCGTGGTGAGCTCGGCGGTGCCGGCGGCGGCCACCCGCACCACGTCGTTCAAGGGCGCCAGCCCCAGCTCCAAGTACGTGAAGCTCAACATCGGCGGCGCGCTCTACTACACCACCATGCAGACCCTCACCAAGCAGGACACCATGCTCAAGGCCATGTTCAGCGGGCGCATGGAGGTCCTCACCGACAGCGAAGGTAGGGCGCTCCCGGCGCGGCCTGGGGAGCGATTCCCGATTCCGGGAACAAACGGAGCGCAGAACGGCCCCTCACTGCTCCAGTACTGCTGCGTCTTCTCAGTGCCTCAGCTGCTGCCTTGTACAGAAACCGTGGGGAACCAAAGATATGAATGACTAGTTGTCCAACAAGAGGGTGACGTGAATTCCACAGGGCCCTGTCAGGCCAGACAGGGCATCCTTTTGCTCCATCTTTTTCTCTCTTTTTTAAATTCTAATCCTAACTTCTTAAGCGTACATAAAATGGTTAGGATAATGGTTAGTGACCAGCCAGAACTCACTTGTGTATTTTGAAGCTGAGAGGGTGGTTCCCTTGGCTCGTTTGCTGATCAGACATTTAAAGAGAGAATTTACTTTGAAGGCTGTAGGGCTCTTGAGCTAAAAGCTAATCTTTAAAATGTAAATTTGTTTTCTTGTGAGAGTGGTCACTTTGGATTCCCTAAAATAAAGACAGTTGTGAAAATTTGGCCAATTCACTGCAGATACTACTGACAGCACGTGAATGTCCCCACCTAAAGGTTCCATGGAAAGAAAGAACTTGCCCTGTATCAAGTTGCCATCACCCAAGGAGCTCCGCTCAGATCCTTGGCATCATTGCGAAATATGTTGACATTTTCTTCTGTTGCAATTCCCTTAAACATTAGCTATACCACTCAGCTGCAGGAAAGCCTTTTTATGATGGCTCTTTACAACTCTGAGAGTAATTTTATATCAGTGTTCTCAAATGATGGGAGTGTCACGGACCTGAATTCAAGCACAAGTTTCTATTTACATGCTGGCGTTTTGCCCATAACTCTTAATTTGTGAACTTGGATACATTTAACAATTACTCTTTAACAATAGTTACTGTGCCGCTCATCTTAAAGGTTCAAAACTGCATTCTAGCAATTAATTTGAAAGTGGTGTTTGAATTTGCTAAAAGTGTAGAGAATGTGTCACTTGGTTGATCTGTTGGGCCTCGTTTTGAAAGCTTTAGCATATATCGAGCAGAAGAAATGATGGATTTAATAAGCTGCTGTGATGAGTTTTCTTGAGATTGGAGGAAATGAGCTTCGAGAAAAAGTTGTAAAAAAGCACAGCCTGGTTTGGTATCAGAACACTCCTGTTTTAGCTAGACCTGCTTATGTTTTAGTTGGAGAGGAAGAAAAAAGTTGCATTTTCCCATTTTGTTATCCTGTGGCTTTTACAAGCTTTCAGCCACTGCATAGGATTAACTTTAGAGCTGTGAGTTTTGGACTCTGATCCCAGAGTTTCCTCCACAAGGTCAGCCATGGAGGCTAAAGGTTATGTGAAAAAGCCAGTTTGTGGGTCAAATGCAAAAATAAAAGCACTATCCAATGGGAATCCATTTCTGCCCTGGGAAGAATGGCGAGGTGGGCAAGGGCAAGTCTGTAGACCAGGACGTTGAGGGACCTCTCCCCTTGGTGCCAAACTCCAGGGAGACTCTGCTTCTCCCTGAAACTGCTCCGTATTTTTCAAAAGTGGGTAATTCAGCCCTCCCCGAGTCCTTCAGTTCCTTCCTTCAATTGGAAGCTGCAGGTTAGGAGCTGTCCCTGCAGGGTCCCAGCTCTTCCTGGGGCTCCCAAGGCTCGCGCTGTGGGAATGTTCTTCCACGGTGCTCCTGGGACACAGGATTTACTGCTTTGCTTAAGTCCAGGCACTTCTGCCTGGGGAGCAGCTGACCCTGTTACTGCTAATATGCTAATACTGCTCACTGGGATTTAATCCTCCAAAATGCCACGCTTGGGGTGCAAGATCCCAGGCTTATTTTGCTGCGAATCCCAGTGTGTCCGCGTGGGATTGTTCCCAGTTGGGCAGTTTGTGTTTTAATGGGAATTGTGCGCTTCCTGCACGGTGCAAGTGAGACACTCCCAGCGCAGTAGTTCTTGTTTTATCTCCCGCTCCCTGGCATGTTGTTGGAAACCAGGACAATAGCATCGGAGCTGTTAAAGGAAACCCTTTTTATCTGAAATTCTTCAAAACGCCGTTAGCTGGTTCCACCCAAAATCTTGGTCAAAACAAAACGTTGCTCAGGAAGAGCAGCCAAACTTGCAGAGAAGCTGCCGAGAGCCACGTTCCTAAAGGGTCTGTGGAATGTGTCCCCCTGTTTGTCCTGATCCATTGCTCTGACCCCGGCGCCGTCTCCCAGGCTCTTCCTCAACGTCTCCCAGTTACAACGTGCTGCTGCTGCTGGGGCTGCAGGAGACAGAGCTGCAGTTCCCTGCTGCTAGAGAGCAGGTGATTGTTATCAGCTTATAGACTGTCTGTGGATTGTGGCAAACCTGCGCCTTTGGAAAGCTGCAAAGGAAGAGAGAAGGGTGAAATTTTCCAGGTCCATTCAGGCCTATTTCCAGAATTTCCTTCCTGCAAAGTGGTTTTCTCAGTCCTTTTTTTTTCCCCTTTCTCTCCACTGCTCTGGGGCAGTGTGTGCTAGCAAGCCTGGAGGGTCGGGCAGTCCCAGTGCCAGGATTCTCCTGCATCAGGCTCAGTCGGAAAACGTGCTCTGTTTTAGCTTCGTTTTTTTTTTCCGCGCTGTCCCTGGGACTTCTTGCCAAACATAAGATTAATTTCCCCAAAATGTAATGTGTGTGCATATAGTTCATGGATTATGTATTCCTACCTCAAAAAACGGATTGCATTTATTGCTTTGTGTTGTGGTTATGGTTACGGTGGCTATGTATTGTGGTGATAGTACCACAATTTAAAAGGAAAGGCTTTAAGGGCCTGTAGGTGAGAGGCAGCTCTGGGGCTCTGCAGAGCCCTCACCAAGCGGCAGCAGGGGCGCTGGCCTGTGAGTCATCCCCTCTCTGCTCTGTGTTTAGGCTGATTGGGTAAAACAGAAGATTGCTTGAAAGCTGCTTTAGCAGCCACTTGTATTTTGCAGTGCTGCTGTATTTTTTGCTGCTTTTTTCTCCTGTATTCTCCTTCTCTGCTGTATTTTCTCCTCCCTTCCCTGCCACCTGCAAGACGGCTGGGTTTCACCATCCCTACACATGAAGTTGCTGCAGATTTTCACAGCCTGCAGAGGGAATCACAGCAGAGATGAAAACAGAGAAGTTTGGTGGCTGTAACTGCTCTCTGGGCCAGCCCTTTGCTTCCCCGCACACCCGGGGCGCCCGAGGAAGCGTTGTCCCTGTCTGCGTGCGTGGCCCTGGGTTTGTGCCCCGTCTCGTGCTCCCTCGGCCCGTTGCACGGGGAGCTCTGGCCTTGACCTCCTGTCTCCAGAAGCGGGTACCCAACTGCAAGCGAGGGAGATGGAAAATCTCCAGTAAACTGCTGGAGCACGTCTCACTTTTCAGCAGAGCAGCATGAAAGGGCTGTGTTCACTTTCCAGATGTAACCAAATATTCAGATTTATTAGTAATTCCATTCATGCAGAACACACAGGGTCTGCTCTAACCTACTTTCCTTATTTGTTCAAAATATGACCGCGTCCCCGCAAGCGTTTCCTCGCTGCATTCCTGACTTGCAGCCCGTGAGTTTGGCCTTCTCCTCGTTTATGGAAACTCGAGCCTGGACGTTGCGTAACCGTTTCCAGGGCCAAGGAAGAGGCCGGCAGCAAAGTGGCAGCAAGGGGAGCAGGACAGAGCCCGGGTCGCAGCTGGAGCTCTGCTTCCCCCCACTCTTCCCAGTAAAGAGCAGTGCGCTGGGCTCCAGGGCAGGGGCCCGGTGTCCCTCCTGCTCTACACTTGCTGTTGCATCGTTTCTTTGGGTAGTTTTAGGCTGATTACCAGTTGTTCTACCAGTACTGCCATATTCCTTGGGAATGTGGAGGCGGAGACGGGATTTGCAGCGACGCTGCTGAAGCCTGTGTTGTCTTTCCAGCCTTTTTGTGCCACGTGTAGGTAACGGGGTAGGGCCCGAGGACAGTGCGGCAGGGGTTCGGGACTGCTCTGAGTGGGGAAGTGCTTATTTCTCCCTTTTGATTAATTAGTAATTGAAAAAAACCAAAGAAGCTTCCTCCCTTCCTGCTGCCTGTGCTCCTGGAAAACGGCCGGGCCGGTTCCCTTGCGCCGGCTGGGGCCGGGAATCGGAGGAGGTCGTCGAGGCCGGACCGTGCCCGCTGCGGCCGCGCCAGGCGCCTCGCACCCCCAGGCTCCGCTCGCTGCGGCCCTGCAGCCCAGCAAAGACCCCCGCTCTGTTTCCTACCTCTGCTTCTGCTCTACTCCGGGTTTTTTAAACCTTTCCCTAGGCTGGATCCTGATCGACCGCTGCGGGAAGCATTTTGGGACGATCCTGAACTACCTGCGCGACGGGGCCGTGCCGCTGCCCGAGAGCCGCAGGGAGATCGAGGAGCTGTTGGCGGAAGCCAAGTACTACCTGGTGCAGGGGCTGGTGGACGAGTGCCAGGCTGCCCTGCAGGTAGGTGGCGGAGCTCGCGGGGCGCCCGGGGCCTTCCCGCCGCGCGGAGACCATGGGCGCTGGACGTGCCTCTCTGCACACAGACCTTGCCAGTTCACACGGATGCTGCCCTCAGGTCTCTCTACTCAGCTGCTGTTTAATTCTTGTTTCAGCAGAACAAAGATGCATATGAGCCCTTTTGCAAGGTACCCGTGATCACTTCTTCCAAGGAGGAGCAAAAACTTATAGCCACTTCTAATAAGGTAAGAAAGAGCCAGGCTGTGCTGGGTCTTGGGTCAGTGTTGGCCTGTCGCCCTGAAAGGTGCATGAAGTCATGACCAAATAGTCTTTAGAAGGTGATCTCTTTAGTTTTCAGCAATGGGCTTATCCTAAAATACCTCTGCTTTAGTTACTGTAGGTGCAGTATATTGAAAACCTACAGCAGACTAAACATTTTTGCTAAATTAAGAATCAGATGCTGCTCAGGCTGGGCCTGTCTATGTCTTTCTTCACTTTACATAGTCAAACAGAAGGCGTAGGTAGCAGGCTGATCGAGCAGATCATCAGGGCCATCAGATCTTTCAGTTATTTGTCCACTCTCATTAGCAATGACAAATACTTTCCTTAGATAAAGTGAATTAATGACTCCTGTTCCTGGAAGGCTTCTAGTTGCAGTGGGTGGAGGCTGGTAGTAGTGATTAGCCTGGGCAAAAAGACAGGGAGGATAAGAATGAATTATGATCTAGTCACAGGAGGGATTAGAAGGATCGCAGCCCTGTTGAGAGGCACATGAGAGTTTTGTAGCAACAAAAACAACAACAAAGTCCTTCTGGGTCTAGGCCTGATGGTGGCATTTCATATTGCAGCCCTGCTACTGTATGGTCGTGGGGCCAGGCTGAGATCCCAGCTCTCACTGCTCCTCCTCTAACTGATCTGTTGTGTTTTTTACAGCCAGCAGTGAAGTTGCTATATAACAGAAGCAACAACAAATATTCCTATACCAGGTAAGAGCTTCAGTTGTACTTTTCAAAGATGTTCCTAACCAGAAGTCCATGATAAGCCTTGCATTTTCATCAGTCAGAACCCAAGGCAGATTGGTGCTGGCATGCACTTACTGTGTTCCCTAATTAATTTCAAATTTGAGTCAGAAAGGAGCCTAGTGTCATCAGTAGAAGACCCCGTTTGTGCTGTTTGTGGGAGAAGGGCTCCCTGCTGCTGAGGTGCAGCTCCAGGGGCTGCTGAGCGAGTGCGGTACTGGAGCCGTCACCCTGCAGCGCTGTCAGTACGTGGTAAACAGCACTGAGTCCGGCGCCTCGTCCTCCCTTTTTCTGTGTTGTATAAAAGCTGCACAGCCTGGCACTCTCACCCTCCAGCTGATGCTAAGCTTGAGCTGAAGAAATGGATTAATTTGGGTGATTGGTTTTTGAACAAACGCCCTTGGACAGTATTATTCAGCAGTCACGTTACTGCTTCTTCAGCAGCAGGGTATCCTGCTCCTACTAGTCAAATCAGTTGCCACTGCAGCCCTGGACATCGAATGTAAGCTCTGCCTTGGCAGAGATGCAGTAAGTGAAAGGAAACTGGGCACGTGGACCTCCAACTGCCCGCTGCTTCCCTTCTCCCCTGTGCTCCCTTCATTACCCTTGTGTGACCGCTGCTCTTCTGGATCTCTTGCAGCAACTCTGACGACAACATGCTGAAGAACATCGAGCTGTTCGATAAGCTGTCCTTGAGGTTTAACGGGAGGGTGCTCTTTATAAAGGACGTCATCGGAGACGAGATCTGCTGCTGGTCGTTCTACGGGCAGGGGCGGAAGATTGCCGAAGTCTGTTGCACTTCCATTGTTTATGCGACTGAGAAGAAGCAGACAAAGGTACAAGGGAGCCCTGAGCGCTGCCCAGCGGGTGCAGCTGCCCCCGTGGCCTCTGCTCGGGCATCAGCGCTGCTGTTGTGCAGCTGGTCTGTGGTAGTGGGTGCCATTCAGAGCAGGAGCAGCTCGTCCTGGGCGGTCATTAGGACAGGGGCTGTGGGGCTGGGGCGCTTAACACAGAGCACTGTATATTCTGTAACGCAAGTTCTTTCCAGCTCCGGGCTTTAGACCAGCTTGTGCACTTGGACAGGTCTGTTGTACATTCCTGTGTAAAATTCCCTCCCTGCACCTTCGCCATCTTCCCAAGGAGAGCGCGCTCCGAATCCTGCAGACACGCAGCTTGCGGGGCCACTGTTTGGTTGTTGGGCCTGGGTTGGAAGCAGTTGAAAGAGCAGGAGTCTTTGTGCTGGGAGGGTTTCTACAGCTGGAGTGCGACTGGGAAAATATAAAAATACAGGTCCTGGGTGCAGAAAGGGCCGTGTCCTGCTGCGCGCGGAGCTTGGCGGGGGCCGCAGTGACCTTGTATCTCTGGGGGGGCCAGGTGGAGTTCCCCGAAGCCCGAATCTACGAGGAGACCCTGAACATTCTGCTCTACGAGTCGCAGGACGGGCGAGGACCCGACAACGCCCTCCTGGAAGCGACGGGAGGAGCGGCCGGGCGCTCCCACCACCTGGAGGAGGACGAGGAGCGCGAGCGCATCGAGCGCGTGCGGCGCATCCACATCAAGCGCCCCGACGACCGGGCGCATCTGCACCAGTGAGCGCGGCCCTCAGCCCCAGTACACGACCAGGCAGCTTAACTTCTGTTCGGTGAAGTCTGTAAATTATGTTTTGTAACAAACTAGATTATTTGGAGTATTTAAGTGAAGTAGTTCTAGAACCAGAATAAAAAAGGAAAAGGTTATTGGGCTTATGAGAGGGGATTGTAAGGCCCTGTTGAGCATCTGGAGAAGGGCCCGGAATTTTTAGCACTCTCATCTCTGCTATTGTGTGGCTAGGGAGGAAGAGGGCTGGCTTCCTTCGGCTTTAGTAATTATCCTGCACTTTAAAACAACAACAAAAAAGCAAAATACAAATGTCAGCCAGGCCCTCGCTGGCCCGGCCTCCCCTGGGCCTTGGGCGAAACGCTGCTCCCTAAGGAAGCCCAGGCTGCTGCAGCCTGAGGAGGGAGGACACGGGGCAAGGACACGGGGCAAGGACACGGGGCACGTGCTGCCCAGCTCCTGCGGCGCGGACAGCAGGACGAGCGGTGGCAGCTCTGCCCCCAGACCCAATGAACCTGCCAGCACTGAACGGTAGAGACCCCGCTTCTCTCCCCATCCCCGCTTTATTGGTGCGGTTCAAGGGTGTAAGATGTTAGAATTCCTGCAGCAGGAGGGTTAGGAACAAGCTGCAGTCATTGCTTTTCCTTAAGGTGGTGTTACCAGCAGCTAGTCAGCGCTTAAGACTTTGCTTGGCCCCGCGTCTCAGCTGGGGCGTTTCTTTTCCATTGGATTGTGGCTCTTTGAGCGGTGCTTCCTTTGCTCTGCTTGCCCCAGGTAGGACCCCACAACAGGCTGCAAACGGAGGGTGCAGCTCAGGCTGCGTAACCGGTGCAGGAGCAGCGTCCTGCCCTGGCTGCTGCGGGCACGGGGAGCTGCCAGCGGCACGCAGGGCACACAGGCTCCTGGTGTGGCTCCATCCCCAGCGTATTCCCAGCATCTGCATGTGAAAGGGCAGAGCTAAAATGTTGCATGGAGAAGAACGATGTATTCTGGTTTTTTAAGAGTACTTTCTGTTATGAATTAATATTTTATCTACCTCCTAGTCTCTGGTTGCCTACTATGGAGTCAAGTAGCACTTAGAGTGGAAGATCATGTATTATTCAGTGGGACTGATGCTGAGGGATAATGAGAAGAGCCACTAAGGGTGGATAGAACAGGCCTTGGCAGGGAAAGCACAGCTGCGGTAGGAAGTCTAAAACTTCAGGCTAGGTGACACCACAGTTCTTTGGGCCAGCCTAGAGATTTTTGACTCTTGATCTGGAATATGTAAGCCTGACTTTAACAAGCAGCCATCTCCTATTGGGGTGCGACTCCATGGTCCTGTTACTCACTGGAGGAGGTAGTTGCTTCTAGCAAAGTTGCTGCTGCAAGGATTCCCAGTCCTGGCTCCGAGCAGATTAGGACATGTCAGCACTCGATATACCAAAGGTGTTGTCAGCATCACCAGCTACGCTACTCCAGTACTTGTATTTCTAGTAGTGGTTACATCCAAAACCGTGCGTGCAGCCTGCCTTTAGCCGCTAAATTGAAGTATTCAGCCTTTTGTTTGCTCAGTGTTGCAATGTTAGAGTATTGCATAAAACTAGAATAAGAATACTTCCTTCTAGTAACCAAAGAGGCTCCTGGTGCCAGGCAGCCGGTGGCAGCGGTGCTCACGCCTGCGCCTTCTTCATGAGCTCGTGGTTGTCACCCGAGAGCCCGAGGGAAGCGGTGTGGGCTGCGCTGCCGCTCGGCTCTGCTCCTGGGGGGTGGTCACAGCTGGTGCAATGCAGTGGGGTAGCGGGGACAGTCACAGCGTGGCCGCTTGTGGTGCCCGCGCATCAGCTCCGTGTGCCGGGACGCTCACGGGAGCGAGGGGCTCAGAGAGCTGCTGAGGGGCTGGCCGCCTGTCCTTGGGGCGGCACGGAGGCTGCACTGCTCCAAGCCCCTCCGGTGCCTCCTGTGCTGCTAGGGAGTGGGGAAGGAGCCCCTCACAAAGAGCAGAGCCCTCCTGCTGCTGCTGCTCCTGCCCTGGGCTGCCCTCCCAGCCCCGGCAGCACCTCAACCCCGCCGGCTCTCCACAGTAGCAGCAGGTTTGGCTCTCGCCCTGGAAGTGTTGACAGCAGCAGGGAGCACCTGCGCATCAGCCCTACCTGAGTAACTGCTTTGTAAATAGGTCCTTACCTGGCTTCAGCATTTCCCCATCCCGGTTTTACCAAGTCAGTTCTTACAAGACAGAGGGGCACTCTTACTTGTAATCTTTGTAGAGGTGGCTGTAGAGGTTTTGTTCCTTTTGTTTTGTTTTCCAGTAACCCACTCCCAGGGCTTGGAGGCACAGGTTGAGTAGACAGGGAATTCTGTATTGGATTTATGGACACAAGCTCAGCCTTAACACACTCCTCGTGTAGCCGTCCCGGTGTTGTAGCCGTGCAGCAGAGCTGTGGCGCTGTCCCAGCTTGCAGCACCTTTACCTGCTGGCCGGGTGTCCCTGGTGCAGGTTCCACTGTTCCGGCAGCAGAGATTCAGGGCAAAGGCAGCTCCCAGAGCCTGCACAGCTGCTGGCAGATCTGGAGCCTTGTGCCCTTAAATGGTTTTGCCTCTGGCTTCCAGTGGAAGAGCGGGCAGGGAGAGCTCTCCAGGAGCGTCTGGTCCATACCCAGCAGCTGCACACACAGAGCCGTCCCGCTGGATCCCGCAGGGGCTGCCGCAGCCCTGCTCCTGGCTCTGCTTTTGCCCTCCCCAGGGAAGGAGGAACCCCAGACTCGGCACCTGTGCCACAGCCCAGGCTGTGGCAGCCCCAGCAGGGGCAGCCCGGGCCCCGTTCCCCACCGGAGAGCAGCACCTCCTGTTTACAGCAAGGCCCAGGCAGGTTCTGGAGCCCCCCACCCTCCACCAGCTGCAGACACTGCCCCCCTGGGGAACATTTCCAAGCTCTGCTCTTCCCTTTAGCGAGAGGATAGTGGAACCTTTCAGTCTTAACAAAATTGTTCCAGTTGTGGACAAGAGTAGCAAATTCAGCTGTTCTGTACAATCATTCCTTCCCCTTTTATACTTAATGCACAAAGAAAAGCTTAAGTGAAATATTAATGTATGGTGTGTGTTTGCAATATGTACTTTTCATTTTTTAATATAATGCAAAATAAATCAGAAATTTCATATTTACAGGGGAGTTATTTTATTACTTGTTTGAATTTCAGTGCCTACCCCCCTCTATGGACCAGGAGCAGAGTTAGAAAGTCCTTTCAGGAGGGAACACCAGACATTATTCTCCCCCTGGCTGTTAGTTTTACCTTCTGGCCTCTGCGTGGAGGGTCTTGCCGGTGACGGGGTAGCAGCTGATGAAGGCAGCAAGTTAGGGATGCTCAGGCTGTAGTTTCAGGCCAGCCCCAGCAGCCTGGAGCAGGAGCCACACAAATTGCCTCAATGTGAGGCAGAAGGGCCAGCACTGTGGACACACAGCCTGGCTGCCCAGCTGCAGCTTCCAGACAGGGGGGAAATTCCTTGTCTTCCTCCTACCCGCTCTTGCAGCTACCATTAAGAGCTACTCCAAGTGCAGGAGGGAGCAAAGGCTCCACACTTGGAGGTGGAGGTTTGGATCTGGAGTGCAGCAGGCTGCTGCATCTCTCCAAGCTAAGGAATTTTACTCGGCTTTCACCGTGCCAATTCCCCTGCCTCCATGTGACAGCATCGCACCCAACTGCTGTGCAGGGAGGAGTAAGGACAGGGATACTCCAAGGGCAGAGCCCTCCTTATCCTGGGAGGGCAGGAAAAGCAGGTGCTGAGGTTTGCAGAGGAGCAGCCTCAAATGCTGCTGCACTGACTCAGACAGCAGTGCCAGCCTTAGTTCTGCTGCATTTAAACCCATCTCTGCCCACTAAAGCACTCATTCCTGCCTGGGAGAAAAGATGTTTTCAGAGCAGAGTAACATCACTGATCTGCACTTTGTGCAGTTCTGCTCTGCACAGTGACTCAGGCTTCAGCTAGGGAAACCTTTTGACTTCTACCTGAATCCCTCCCAGCTGATCCGAGTTCTGAGTTTCAAGGTCACTGCATGCACAAAGACCAACATTTTACACATGCTTTAAACATTTCCCTGTGATGATGTGCAACTAGCATCAGTGCTCACCAGAATGTTAGAGCAACAGAGAGGAACCTACCTAGCTAGAGCTGAAGAGTTTAAAGCTATTAAAAAAAGAACCTGAGAGATGCAAGCGAGTCTCACATCCCCGCAGCCCTATGGCAGCAGTGGAGAGGTGGGTGCTGCTCTCATCCTGCCAGCTCCTTTCTGCTCCCAGCCCAGACAGGGACCAGGAACAGTTCCTGCTTCTCATCAAGACTTTATCTGGGTTGACACCTGCGATGAAAAACGAAGGAGTCATTAGCTCAAGGACAAATATTACGTCTTTCAGGCTCCCTGCCTGTGGTAAAAGGGGTTGGGAGGTTTCTGTTTCACTGCTGGCAAACAAAGCCCAGGTCCTTTGTCTCAGGGCTGGGGAGAGCCAGGGCCTGACGGGAATTGCAGCCCAGTATCTAGCTCTTCTTGGAGCTTTCAGCTACCAAACAGGAACTAAGGGCTCTTTGAGGCACTTACACAACAGGCACCTAAGGCAGCTGGGTCTCCGAGGGCTGAGCATGCAAGCAGACCATGCAAGCCCCATCCCCAGCCCTCCTTACCACTGTCAGCTGTCCGTTTTTGGCTTTAAAGATCTGAGGCTCCTGCCCGACGGTGAAGACCATGGTCCCTTCCTTCCCAGAGCCGACACGAAACTGAAGACTGTGGGAACACACAGAGCTCCTTGTTGGTCGCTCCTCACAAGAGGCTTTGCTCTAAGCCCCCCTTGTTTCTGCTCCCTCGTAAATCCCATTAGTGGAAGGGCTCAGAAGCCTCCGGCTCAGGCAGGTTTCCCACTCAATAGCCTTATGGTACCCAGGTGATGGACGGAGCCTGGTCCAGGCACCGCAAGCTCTCCTGGTACAATTAAGCTTTGGAAGATAAGCAGATCCAGCCTGGAGAAAACTGCTGAATATGGGGAATCTAATTACAAATGAAATGCAGAGGCCAGAGAAAAGACAAACAGGTATGTTTTGCAGTAGATGACGGATCACGGGCAGCTCTCGGAGCAGCACCTAACACACAGTACCGGGGAAGCAGCTTTGTTAGAGCTGGGAATGGATCCTAATGATTTTTAGGACATTATCTGCCTGTGTGTCCCCCCTCATGGGCCTGGTGCCAACAGAAAGAAGTCCTCAGATCAGCTGTGCTACTGCAAGAGCTCTAATCAGCTTATGGGCCCTGTCTGCTGCAGCAGCATAAATAGCTTTGACTCAGGCAGTCCAGGCCTACAAGTTGTTAAAGCAGATTCTCGCACAAAGGCAGCCTGCAAACTTCTACCCTCCGGCGCTGTTTCTTACCTCCCCTGCACAACTTTAACAAGATTTTGCTTGTTGGCCAACATGCAGAGCTTCGTGACCGTCTCGAAGACGTGCTCACACTGAAGTATCACGTCGCCCTGCAAGCGAGAAAGAGGCCACCTGGGTACGCCAGCATGTCAGCAAGTGAAGAGCTCCTCATCTGGGGAAACTCTAATTCCAGAGCAGTGCCCACTGTACAAAAGCAACAACCACCACATATCACTTACAAATGATCATGTACCAGATAGTTTATAAAATCTTTCTAGGGCTATTTGGGATTTATAGCAACTTGGGCTCCAACAAAAGAAATGAGACAATGAGAGTTTAAAGGACTAGCAGATCCAAAGTAGCAGGAAACATCAGCAATGCCCTGAGTATTTCATAGGAAAATATTTGATCTAGGGTTAGAAGTAAGGTCTTAGCAGCTGCTGTGTTATGTGAGCTACATTTCAGCTTCCTACCTTCTGCTTGTTGTCCTCAGGAACGTGAATCACTACGATCCCATCACTCAGGCTACTGGTAGAAATACCTTCAAGAGAACCACAACAGGGAGAGGAAAAGCAACCAAAGACAGTTACACAACACGGTCAGCATCCTCGTAGTTAGAGGGCAGCTCTGCTCCTGCAGTGGATCAAGCTCTGTCCAGGCTGCAGAGCAGGAAGTCATCCTGAAGAGACTCTCTACCTTTCTAAGTAGTTCATTTCCCAGCTTAGATACTTTTAAAGAATTAGCATAATTTTACTGCTTTAAGTCTTCAGAATACATTACATATATCTGTCATCCAAGTACTCAAAACACACTTGAGCATGATACATGGAATTTTTGGCCCAGACCATTCCACATTATCTGTGTATCTAACAATTGCTGTTCCTGCCCCTTTTAGCTTAAAAAGCAGCCCTCACCCCCAAGTGTTTCAAGGTGCTATGTCCTCCTGTTTGTAGGTATTG